TGCTTTAGGTTGGATGGCCATTTTGACAATATTAATTCTTCCTATCCATGAGCATGGGATGAGTTTCCATTTATTGGTATCTTATTTAATTTCTCTTAAAAGTGTCTTGTAGTTTTCAGGTTAGGTCTTTCACATCTTTGGTTAGGTTAATTCCTAGGTATTTTATTCTTTTTGATGGAACTGTGAATGGAATTGTTTTCCTGATTTCTCTCTCTGCTAGTTTATTTTTATTTTTAGTGTATAGGAATGCCATGGATTTCTTTGTATTAATTTTATATCCTGCAACTTTGCTGAATTCCAATATTAGATCTAGTAGTTTTGGAGTGGATTCTTTAGGGTCTTATAAGTACAATATCATGTCTTCTGCAAACAGTGACAATTTAACTTATTCCTTGCCAGTTTGGATGCCTTTCATTTATTTGTGTTGTATGATTGCCATGGCTAGGACCTTCAGTACCATGTTGAATAGAAGTGGGGAAAGTGGGCATCCTTGTCTTCTTGTTCCCAATCTTAAAGGAAAAGCTTACAGGTTCTCGCTGTTAAGTATGATGTTGGCTGTGGGTTTGTCATATATGGCCTTTATTATGTTGAGGTTCTTGCCCTCTATACCCATTTTGTTGAGAGTTTTTATCATGAATGGATGTTGAATTTGGTCAAATGCTTTTTCAGCATCTATGGAGATGATCATGTGGTTTTTGTCCTTTTTGTTGATGTGGTGGATGATGTTGTTGGATTTTCGAATGTTGTACCATCCTTGCATCCCTGGGATGAATCCCACTTGATCATGATGGATGATCTTTTTGATAAATCTTTGAATTCAGTTTGCTAATATTTTGTTGAGTATTTTTGCATCTGTGTTCATCAGGGATATTGGTCTGTAATTTTCTTTTGTTGTGGTGACTTTGTCTGGTTTTGGCATTAGAGTGTTGCTGGCCTCATAGAATGAGTTTGGAAGTATTCCCTCTCCTTCTACTCTTTGGAAAACTTTAAGAAGGATGGGTATTAGGTCTTCACTAAATGCTTGATAAAATTCAGCAGTGAAGCCAACTGGTCTAGGAGTTTTGTTCTTAGGTAGTGTTTTTATTACCAGTTCGATGTTGTTGCTGGTAATTGGTTTGTTCAGATTTTCTGTTTCTTCTTGAGTCAGCCTTGGAAGGTTGTATTTTTCTAGAAAGTTGTCCATTTCTTCTAGGTTATCCAGTTTGTTAGCATATAATTTTTCATAGTATTCTCTAGTAATTCTTCGTATTTCTGTGGTGTCCCTAGTGATATTTCCTTTCTTATTTTTGATTCTGTTTATGTGTGCAGACTCTCTTTATTTTTCGAAAGTCTGGCTAGGGGTTTATCTATTTGTTTATTTTCTCAAAGAACAAGCTCTTGATTTCATTGATTCTTTCTATTGTTTTATTTTTCTCTATTTTATTTATTTCTGCTCTAATCTTTATTATGTCCCTCCTTATGCTGACTTGGGGCCTCACTGTTCTTCTTTTTCTAGTTTCATTAATTGTGAGTTTACACTGCTTATATGGGATCATTCTTCTTTCCTGAGGTAGGCCTGTATTGTAATATACTTTCCTCTTAGCACAGCCTTGGCTCTGTCCCACAGATTTTGCAGGTTGAATTATTGTTGTCATTTGTCTCCATGTATTGCTTGATCTCTGTTTTTATTTGGTCATTTATCTTTTGTTATTTAGGAGCTTGTTGTGAAGCCTCCATGTGTTTGTGGGATTTTTCATTTTCTTTGTGTAATTTATTTCTAATTTCATACCTTTGTGGTCAGTGAAACTGGTTGATACAATTTCAATCTTTTTAATTTACTGAGTCTCTTTTTGTGGCATAGTATATGATCTATTCTTGAAAGTGTTTCATGTGCACTTGAGAAGAATGTATATACTGCTGCTTTTGGGTGTAGAGTTCTGTAGATATCTGTTAGGTCCATCTGTTCTAATGTGTTGTTCAGTCCCTCTGTGACCTTACTTATTTTCTATCTGGATGATCTGTCCTTTGGAGTGAGTGGAGTTTTGAAGTCTCCTAGAATGAATTCATTGCATTCTATTTCCCCTTTTAGTTATGTTAGTATTTGTTTCACATATGTAGGTGCTCCTGTATTGGGAGCATATATATTTATAATGGTTATATCTTCTTGTTGGATTGACCCCTTTATCATTATGTAATGTTCTTCTTTTTATCTTGTGACTTTCTTTGCTTTGAAGTCTATTTTGTCTGATACAAGTACTGCAACTCCTCTTTTTTCTCTCTATTAGGTGCACAAAATATCTTCTTCCATTCCTTCACTTTTAGTCTGTGTATGTCTTTGGGTTTAAAGTGAGTCTCTTGTAGGTAGCATATAGATGGGTATTGTTTTTTTTAATCTATTCAGTGACTCTGTGTTTTTTGATTGGTGCACTCAGTCTATTTACATTTAGGGTGATTATTGATAGGTATGTACTTATTGCCATTGCAGACTTTAGATTCGTGGTTACCAAAGGTTTGAGGTTAACTTCCTTACTATCTAAGAGTCTAACTTAGCTCACTTACTATGCTATTACAAACACAATCTAAGGGTTCTTTTCTTTTTCTCCTCCTTTTTATTCCTCCTCCATTCTTTATATATTAAGTATCATATTCTATACTCTTTGTCCCTTGATTGACTTTGGGGATAGTTAATTTAATTTTGCATTTGCTTAATAATTAGCTCTTCTACTTTCTTTATTGTGGTTTTATTACCTCTGGTGACAGTTATTAAGCTGTAGGAACACTTCCATCTATAGTAGTTCCCCCGAAATAGACTGTTGAGTTGGTTTGTGGGAGGTAAATTCTCTCAGCTTTTGCTTATCTGGAAATTGTTTAATCCCTCCTTCAAATTTAAATGATAATCTTGCTGGATAAAGTAATCTTGGTTCCAGGCCCTTCTACTTCATTGCATTAAATACATCATGACACTCCCTTCTGACCTGTAAGGTTTCTGCTGAGAAGTCTGATGTTATTCTGATGGGCTTTCCTTTATATGTGATCTTATTTCTCTCTCTGGCTTCTTTTAACAGTCTGTCCTTATCCTTGATCTTTGCCATTTTTATTACTATATGTGTTGGTGTTGTCTTCCTTGGGTCCCTTGTGTTGGGAGATCTGTGCAGCTCCATGGCCTGAGAGACTATCTCCTTCCCCAGATTGGGGAAGTTTTCACCAATTATCTCCTCAAAGACACTTTCTATCCCTTTTTCTCTCTCCTTCTTCTGGTATCCCTATAATGCGAATATTGTTCCACTTGGATTGGTCACACAGTTCTCTCAATATTCTTTCATTCTTAGAGATCCTTTTTTCTCTCTGTACCTCACCCTCTTTGTATTCCTCTTTTCTAGTTTCTATTTCATTTATCACCCCCTCCGCCAGATCCAGTCTGCTTTTATTTCCCTCCATTGTCCTCTTCAACGATTGGACCTCCAACCAAAATTCATTCTTGACTTCTTGAATATCTTTCTGTACCTCCATTAGCATGTTAATGACTTTTATTTTGAACTCCCTTTCAGGAAGTGTCATGAGGTCCATGTCCTCTTTCTCAGGGGTTATATTAATTTTACTCTAGACCAGGTTCCCTTGGCATTTCATATTTGTGTATGGCACCCTCTAGTGTCCAGAAGCTCTACTCTGTGGAGCTGCTCAGCCCCTGAAGCAATGTTGGGTGTTGCAGGGGAGCAGTATTGGTGCCTGGGAGGAGGAAAGAGCTGTTCCCCACCTCCTGGCTGCTGTGCCTGTCTCCACTGTCTGAACCAGTGGGCCAATCACACAGGTATAAGCTTTTGTCCCAGAGCAGCCAGATATGGATCCCTGCTTTCCACAAGTGGCTGAAATCTCAGTTTCTCCAGGAATTCTGCCTGTCATAGCTTTCCAACCCCTTAATCATGAGAGTATCATGAAAGCACCATGAAATGTAGATTTGTGCTACCAGACCACATCTCCGGAGTTAGATATTTAGCATCCCAGGCTTCCACTCCCTCCATGCTCAGTTTCTCTTCCTCCTGGTGGGGGAAGGGCTTGTGTCCCACTGGGCCACAGCTTTGGTAAGTTACCCTGTTCCATGAGGTCTGCTCTTTTTTCCAGGTGTATGCAGTCTTGCGCAGTCCTCTTTCCTGGGTCTCTCTCAGGATTAGTTGTATTAATTATATTTTCATATTATATGCTGTTTTAGGAGGAAACCTGTCTTACCTCTCTGCCACCATCTTTTCGCATTTTATTTCTTTTTCTTAACCAATTGCTCTGACTAGAATTTCTAGTACTGTGTTTAGTAGAAGTGATTAAGTCAGGTAACCTTGTCTTGTTCCTGATCTTAAAGGAAAAGTTTTCCATCTTTCACCATTGAGTATGAGATTAGCTGTGGCTTTTTGTATATGGCCTTTGTTTTGTTGATAAAATCCTTTTTTTCTAGCTTACTGAGAGTTTTTATCATGCAAATAAAAACATTCCTTCTGTCTGTGAATGTGGCTTATTAGACTGATTGGTTTTCATATGAAGAACCATTCTGTCATTCCAAGAACAAATACTATTCAGTCATCATGTATAATCCTTTTAATGTGCTGTTGAATTCTGTTTGCTAGTATTTTATTGAGGATCACTGAATCTTTGTGCATTAGAAAATCAGCCTTTTGTGTTTTTTTTTTTTTCTTATGAGGTCTTTATCTAGCTTTGGTATCAGAGTAATGCTGCCCTCATAGAATGAGTTTGTAAATATTCCCTCCTCATCAATTTTCTGGAATTTCTTTATATGTTTGGTAGAACTCACCTGTGAAACCATCTTGTCCAGGACTTTTCTCTGTTGGGAGATTTTGATTACTCCTTCCTGGTTATAAATCCCTTCAGATTTTCTGTTTTTTTCATGATTCAGTGTTGGTAAATTATATATTTTAGGAAGGTCCTATTTCATCTGGTTATCTAAGTTTTGACATACAGTTATTTATGGTACTCTTTTATAAACCTTTTTATTTCTGTAGAATTAATAGGAATGCATGCTCACTTTGGCAGTACATATACTAAAATGGGAACAATGCAGAGAAGATTACCATAGCCTCTTCGCAAGGATGATATGCAAATTCGTGGTTTTCCATAAGAAAAAGGAGAAAAAAATTAGTAGTAATGCTTCTTCTTTCAATTCTAATTTTCATTACTTGAATCTTCTCTTTTTTCTTAGTCAGCCTAGCTAAAATTTGTCAGTTTTGTTGATCTTTTCGAAGCACTAATTCTTAGTTTTATTTTGTTTGTTTGTTTTTCTACTATCTATTTTGTCTTTGTTTTAATCATTTCACTCCTTCTAACTTGTGGTTTAATTTGTTCTTTAAGGTGTAAACTAGTTGCTTTAATTGAAATTAGAGACAGGTATAAGTTTTAGTACTTATTAGATAATACAATTTTAGAAGGTAGAATTCCTTTACCTATGTTCATAATTTAAGGAGCAACTTTAATGTAATTTATTGTCTTGAATTCCATAAAATAAGATAGTAAAATTATAGTCAATGTGTTAATTTTAATAAGGCACTTAATAGATATTAGTAAATCTCATATACATCTTGAACTGAACAGTTTTCTACAATATACTTTTTAAATACCCACAAATATTATTTCCTATAGCAAACATTTGTAACCCAAGGTTTACAGTTCAACAATCCTTAGGATTATTAAATCAAATATTTCATGATTTTTGTTTTTATTAGTAAACAGAATGCAGAATAGTAAAAATTTAAGTTAAAGTGTATGATGTTATATGTGAGTAGTCACTAACTTTCATCTCTTGTATTTAAATAAGGTTGTTAAGTAATCCAGTGCTTTGCATACACAAAAATGCTTTTGCATTCTCAAACTTGTGGCATCTGAACTTATCATGACTGTAATAAAAATAAAATTACAGATATTTTAGGCTTACAATAATTTAGTTTCTCATTAGATATAATTTAGCTGTATGAAAACACCTTAGTTTCTTAGAAGCACGCAGTTCTTGAATAGAAGGAAAATTTTCACTTCAATAATTAGGAAATGCAGTTTCCAGAGTATGTCTTGGATGTGTCCATCTTCATTCCATGTAAGCAATTTCAGAATTTTCACAAACTGCCATTTTAACATGAAAATATAAGGTTTTCACAATTTTTCTTTCTTTATAAAAGCAAATACATTCAAATATTTTATTTTTATGTTCTGATTTTAAAATAGATGTTTTCTCAATGAAAAGTGGAAAAATACTTCAAAAAAGAAAAGAAATATGAGTCTCATAATTTCAACATACAGACCTAATTATTGTTTTTAATCATTAATATAAATTTTTATGTATATACCAGACATGTAATTTTTACTTGAGATCCTATTTTCTTATATAACTTTGAAAGTTTTACTCAGTTGCTTAATTGTGAACTGTTTCCCCTATTCTTTTGAAATCTAATTTTTGATGGTTGTATCAAGATATATAGAAGCAATCGTCTATTAAAATAAATTTACTTTTTTATTCTTCATACTTGCTAATCTTTATTCAGTTAGCCTGTGTGAATTTCTGGTCATATCCTTAGAAAATTTCTAACAGGAGAATTATTGAGTCAGAGATGATTTTCATGGCTGTAGTTACGTATGTAGTTATATATAACTGCCCTCAACAAATGTTATAAAAACTGTTTTCCTATAGCCACATTAGAGTGACCACTAGTCCCATTTTAATTTTAGTATTTCACACTACAATTCATGTGTTTACTTTCCTTTTATGTGATGATTTATTTGTTCACCTTTGACAGAAAACTACCTTCTTTGGTCAATTGTAGTGAGTAGCTTTGATTACTTTATTTGGCAACTCCAAAGGAATGTTTTATCTTCTCACCTATTAGAAATTTCTGTTTGTTGTTTGGGTCACTCTGGCCACATATCAATTGTGCTCAGCTTTGCTAGGATGAACAAAATGGCCCTAGAGGTCATTTTAAGTCAGAGGAAGCACAAAGGGAATATAATACTCTAAATTCTCTGGGAGAGTGAGGGCAAGATCTGCTGAAAGAGTTCTGGGAGTACTGCTCTTAGGAAACAATAGTTTTGAACTAGAAAATTCTGGAGCACTATTGATATCCATTTATTGAGCTGTTGGATTCTCATCTTTAAGGAGACCCTACATGTTCTATAACCTGATGCCCCTTTCTTAACATCACCATCTTTCTAGCTAACAGTATTTAGTGTATGCATCACACTTTCCCAACAACTAACCCCTTTATTTGTAAGTTAGTCCTTTCTATTCATGAAAAGTTCATGTTTGAAAGTTTCCTTGAAATGATAGGAAGTCACATTCCTAGAAATATACATTCAATGATACAAAAGATTACTCTCTCTACCATGTGAGACATTCGCATAATCAAAGACATGTTTCTTCCTCTGGGTCTGCTTTTGTATGACCTAAACATATTCAATTTTTTCACTTGTTGTCTTTGGCAGTTGCTTTTTAGAATCTTCAACATTTTTGTTGAACTTCTCTGGATACTTTGATTGGTCAATTTCCCCATTTAAATATGATTTCAGAATAATGACAATAATGATGTGTCTTTCCTAGTCTTTACTTACATTATACTATTTAATCCCACAGCTCATGTATGTGCTAAATTCTATGATCCCATTTTACAGTAAGGGACTTTATGGTTTGTGGAAGTAAAGGAGCTTGAGTACTGAACAGTTTTCTACAATATACTTTTTAAATACCCACAAATATTATTTCCTATAGCAAACATTTGTAACCCAAGGTTTACAGTTCAACAATCCTTAGGATTATTAAATCAAATATTTCATGATTTTTGTTTTTATTAGTAAACAGAATGCAGAATAGTAAAAATTTAAGTTGAAGTGTATGATGTTATATGTGAGTAGTCACTAACTTTCATCTCTTGTATTTAAATAAGGTTGTTAAGTAATCCAGTGCTTTGCATACACAAAAATGCTTTTGCATTCTCAAACTTGTGGCATCTGAACTTATCATGACTGTAATAAAAATAAAATTACAGATATTTTAGGCTTACAATAATTTAGTTTCTCATTAGATATAATTTAGCTGTATGAAAACACCTTAGTTTCTTAGAAGCATGCAGTTCTTGAATAGAAGGAAAATTTTCACTTCAATAATTAGGAAATGCAGTTTCCAGAGTATGTCTTGGATGTGTCCATCTTCATTCCATGTAAGCAATTTCAGAATTTTCACAAACTGCCATTTTAACATGAAAATATAAGGTTTTCACAATTTTTCTTTCTTTATAAAAGCAAATACATTCAAATATTTTATTTTTATGTTCTGATTTTAAAATAGATGTTTTCTCAATGAAAAGTGGAAAAATACTTCAAAAAAGAAAAGAAATATGAGTCTCATAATTTCAACATACAGACCTAATTATTGTTTTTAATCATTAATATAAATTTTTATGTATATACCAGACATGTAATTTTTACTTGAGATCCTATTTTCTTATATAACTTTGAAAGTTTTACTCAGTTGCTTAATTGTGAACTGTTTCCCCTATTCTTTTGAAATCTAATTTTTGATGGTTGTATCAAGATATATAGAAGCAATCGTCTATTAAAATAAATTTACTTTTTTATTCTTCATACTTGCTAATCTTTATTCAGTTAGCCTGTGTGAATTTCTGGTCATATCCTTAGAAAATTTCTAACAGGAGAATTATTGAGTCAGAGATGATTTTCATGGCTGTAGTTACGTATGTAGTTATATATAACTGCCCTCAACAAATGTTATAAAAACTGTTTTCCTATAGCCACATTAGAGTGACCACTAGTCCCATTTTAATTTTAGTATTTCACACTACAATTCATGTGTTTACTTTCCTTTTATGTGATGATTTATTTGTTCACCTTTGACAGAAAACTACCTTCTTTGGTCAATTGTAGTGAGTAGCTTTGATTACTTTATTTGGCAACTCCAAAGGAATGTTTTATCTTCTCACCTATTAGAAATTTCTGTTTGTTGTTTGGGTCACTCTGGCCACATATCAATTGTGCTCAGCTTTGCTAGGATGAACAAAATGGCCCTAGAGGTCATTTTAAGTCAGAGGAAGCACAAAGGGAATATAATACTCTAAATTCTCTGGGAGAGTGAGGGCAAGATCTGCTGAAAGAGTTCTGGGAGTACTGCTCTTAGGAAACAATAGTTTTGAACTAGAAAATTCTGGAGCACTATTGATATCCATTTATTGAGCTGTTGGATTCTCATCTTTAAGGAGACCCTACATGTTCTATAACCTGATGCCCCTTTCTTAACATCACCATCTTTCTAGCTAACAGTATTTAGTGTATGCATCACACTTTCCCAACAACTAACCCCTTTATTTGTAAGTTAGTCCTTTCTATTCATGAAAAGTTCATGTTTGAAAGTTTCCTTGAAATGATAGGAAGTCACATTCCTAGAAATATACATTCAATGATGCAAAAGATTACTCTCTCTACCATGTGAGACATTCGCATAATCAAAGACATGTTTCTTCCTCTGGGTCTGCTTTTGTATGACCTAAACATATTCAATTTTTTCACTTGTTGTCTTTGGCAGTTGCTTTTTAGAATCTTCAACATTTTTGTTGAACTTCTCTGGATACTTTGATTGGTCAATTTCCCCATTTAAATATGATTTCAGAATAATGACAATAATGATGTGTCTTTCCTAGTCTTTACTTACATTATACTATTTAATCCCACAGCTCATGTATGTGCTAAATTCTATGATCCCATTTTACAGTAAGGGACTTTATGGTTTGTGGAAGTAAAGGAGCTTGAGAAGAATTGTACATTTAGGTGTTGGGCCCAAAAATTGTGATGCCACCCAAATTACTATACATGCATTGCTCCAGATATGGCAACCACATAGATCACACAGGTTTATTACTTCCCTGTTGTAAGCTCTATAGATAATAAATATTGTGGAGGATACAGTCTGACAGTTTTATCAAATCATCTACTACAGTGATCTTTCAGGCAACTACATATATATTTGTCAAATTGTTGTCATCATAGATTACCTCACTCATATTCATAGAGTTAATATTCCAAAATTAAACGAATACTTTCCCATTGAACATTCTTAAAATCCATTGGTTTGTTTCA